CCTTTTACATCCCTGTATCCTGAAACATGTTAAAGAGCCCCGAATACCTCATTTCCATCAACAGGAGCTGGTCCTTATGCTGATACTGGTGCTGGCCAGCTCTGTCTTTTAAGAATCAGCCAAAATTTTGAGAAGACGCATAGAAAATAATGAAAGCAAACAGAATCGAATGGGTTCCATTTGATTGATAGATAGATAGATAGATAGATAGATAGATAGATAGATAGATAGATAGATAGATAGATAGATAGATAGATAGATAGATAGATAGATAGATAGATAGATAGATAGATAGATAGATAGATAGATAGATAGATAGATAGATAGATAGATAGATAGATCTGCATCCACCCATAACTGAATTATTGCAATGTTTTTCCCATAACTACTGGATGGACACCAACACTGACGAAAAAAAAAGCACAAGTTTCCCAGGTTCCAGCTTTCACCCTTAATAATCACTGTATATTGTACATGTTATTATTTATATATTAGGAGCTTCCCATTTTCTGTGCGAAGGTGGTGTTGGACTGGCTCTCACCAAACAGCAGAAAGACGATGTCATCTTAGTGTAACACGTAAGAGCTTAAGAGAAACATATTTCACTCCAGAGCTCATAGAAGGCAAAATAAAGCCAAAAGCAAGAACATCTTCACAAGACAGCGTTATTCTGTTTGCTGATAAAGCCAAATGCTGTAAAGTGATAAGATGTTTGTGGGTCTTCAAGTAGCCATAAAATCCTTTTTAAAAGCTCTTAAAGGGAAACTTTCTCTTCAGCTTGACTCAAGTCAAATATATTATATAAAATATAGGCTATAAGTCAACTACTTCACTTCTCAGTAGTTAAAGGCCTTTAAAATCTAATCAATCAACTTCACTTTGCCTTAGATGAAAATACACTTTTGTAGGATTATTTCTGGTGAGAGCTTCGTGTATTTATATTTTTGGTCTGTCACTTCTCACAGATCTAAGGTGGGAATGGTTGTGTTGGAAACACGTGATGTCACATGTTTTCTTAAGCCAATCAGAATTTAACCGTATAGCAAAAAATGAAATTGGTATATGATGACAGCTGCAGGGCTTGTTGTATTGTGTTGCCAGGGAAACCCTACTGTCTGTCACAGCTGAGTGGATAACACAAATGTTTCTTTGAAGGACATATTGCAACTCTTAACTATTAACATTTACTAAGTTGTGTTTATTGATTCAAGAAATTACATTTTAAACAGATAACAAGACTTCAAACCAAATTTTATCAGATAAATTAAGCTAATTCAGAGGTACCTAGAATATCCATGTGATAAAAAGCATAATGTCAATTTACTCCCAGCAAATTCTAATTTTGGATAACTAAATAACTTGAGTACTTTGACTTTGATCTCTCTACATTTCAATGAATCTTCCTGGTTAAATAAAGGTAATAAAGGTGAGACAGGGTATAAAATCAGCTGTCTCAAATGTTGTTTAATGGTAAGTTACTCATCATCCTTTTTACAAACTATATAATACATGATTGAAGACTACAGGCAATATGGAAAAAGCAATTACCTTCACCAGTGTGAGCTAAAAATTCTTTATGAATGTGTAATAATTAGTTTTAATTCTTTCATATGATAGGAGACATTTAGCATAGTGGCACATTACATTAGCTCTATGTTGAAGATAGGTCCTACAGAAATTATTGCATTGTATGACTGCTGGGTATCAAGTCCTTTTCCAGAATGGACTTCCTAATTTCAGCTTAGTTGTCATTGTTTAGAAAAAAGCATACGTAGTTTTTCTTTTGCAGTGTTTTTTTGCTATTTTAGTCTATTTTTTTATTAATGAGATAAAGGCTGACATCTATCTGCAAGCGTTTGTTTTATGTTTTATTAGACAACATGTACTTAAAGTTATCAGTGAAGTATGTAGCTTTATGTGAATTCATCGGTAGGAGGGGGAAGAGGTATACAAACAAGAACTAATTCAATAAAAAATACATTTTCACTGCATTCAATTGTGTGTAATTTGCCTCAGTGATGTAACCTCGACATTCATTCCATTTGATTCCAGTGTGACTGAGAGACGCGGTGATGGATAAATGGCTGGTGTGATCTGTAATTCGCCCCCAGCTAAACGATGAAGAGCAGACAGATGTGTTTAAAGAAATCACACAGCCCCGTGGATGTGTTTGGTTTGGCAGCATTGTCACTAAAACCCTGCTGAGTGAAACTTCAACCACGGTCAATGTGAGACATCTAGTGGCAGAAAAGGAAAAGTACACTTTTTTGGTTTGTTTTTGTTTGTTTTTTTGTTTACCGTCATTTAAACAGACTCTTCCCTGAAGACTAACAATGTAATGTAACCTGTTTGCCCTGAGCAGCAGAGAGCTCGGTGCCTTTTCTGGCGGTATTTAATTAGTCACAGCAGCTCTAAAAGTTATAATAGCAGAATTTGTATTGTTTTAAATGCAGAAATGTTGCCGTCAATTGACAGTCAAAGTGTGTAATTGTAAAACTACAATTACTGTTCCTTTCTGGACTTTTTTCCCTGTCATTTATGGTGTGCTAAAGCTACAACAGCCTATAGGCAAAACAAGAGCACAATGGCAAAAAAAAAAAAAAAAAAGGATTCACTGCGGCTCTTTCCCCTTATCTTCTTTTACTTTTCGTAACAGCACTGAATATTTCCACTGGGAGCCTTTTTCACGTCTGCCTTCACTCCTCTAATAATATCATTGTTATGGTGCTACATCTGCCCCTTCTTCAGTGATAAAATGTTAAAATAAAAATCATTAAAGCTCAGTGATTTAGGACTCGTCTCACCTTGAAATAGCCCTGCAGGAAATTCATGTGTTCAAATAAAGTGTAGACGAATTTCACCCAAGATAAGTATGCTCTTTCCTTTTTTAAAAGCAATGGCTATGTTTTGTGTATTTGTTAACCCTTTGTCACATACGTATAAATACTGTATGTTCATATTTGTACCTCGTGTTCTGACAAACAAATTTTGTTTGGGGTCATCATTGATTTCAGCATCTTATTCAACTTCTTTCAGCTGCTGCCTTCAGGAGTTACCACAGTTATCATCTCCCTCCATTTCACTCTATCACTACCAACCCTTTCGTGTCACACCAACCCTCCATCCAAGGTATTTAAAATCATCCTCCTTCACCTTACCTTACATCTTGACTGCTACACTTGTCTCCCTCTCATTCACACACATGTAATCTGTCTTGCTTCTCCTGATTTTCATTCCTCTTCTCTTCAAAACATACCTCCAACTCTCTAGGATCTCTTCCACCTACTTCTTACAGGTTATAAGACATAATAGTCCACAGAGACTCCTGCTTACTTCATCTGTCAACATAACATAAGTCTTTCTTGACTAATTTAGTACTGAAAAAATAATGCACTTTCTCTTTCTAGAGGTCATAAATATCTGCTATATATTTGTTAATAAAGAATAAAAAATATTTTATGGCACAAGTATAAAATGCAGACTATTCATATGTATTCACATGTACTGTAATATCAAGTGCTTACCACAAGAGGGCCTCCTTGAAACATAAATGGATGACACTTCCACGTCTGAACAGCAGACCACCCACCCGGATAGTTTCATTGTAGACTAATTCAATCACTACTAATAATAGTCACTTCTAGCGTTTGTCCAGAGGAATTACAAAGTCACGTGGTCATGTGCTCAGACTTTTACCTGTTTCACAGCCACTTTTTCACCGTGGGGCCTAATCCATGTGGGTCAGAAGATTAATGTGCAAAACCGACGCAATTAGTTTGCAGGATTATGAAATACTTCCAACTCACAGCTCCGACAAAAACAATGTAGTCATTACGGAGATTGGTGTCCTAAATGGGTGTTTTTGTTCTAGATTGCGATCTCTAATTCCCCATGGTCATCATTTTCGGGAAAAGCTGATAAATTAATCACCTATTCATTTTTACCTTCGCTCCAGATGACTCACAGAGACGTTTGGGCGGTTTTGTTTGTTTTTTGTTTTTTGTTTTTCGAAGGGACTCCTCCCTTTCTGAAGTACACAACTCCACATATGGTCATCGTGTCCCCGCCCCACTAACCCAGGCTCCGAGTATCGTCTCTCCGCCCAGAGCGTGAGTCTGGCCTCGAAGATAACAGTGGAAACTGGGCAGGGTCTGTCTACACATGAAGGCACCTTGACTGCGTGCGCGGTGTGCTTTCTCTTTTCAGCGCTGAGAAGACGTTGCGCTGATCGGAGGATTTAAAGTGAGCTTAAGTTGGACTCGGTGTGACATTTGTGGATCCCGTGGGCGTTGCTGCACTAACAGTGGCTGTGTTGCTCAACTTTGAGAAGTATGTGAATTTGTTGCGACGGCTGAGACGGAATGCGCGGATTTGGTGGCTTTTCCTCCTGTGTTTTCTCTTCGGATATCGTCGTGACTTCGGTCCACCTGCAGCCCCTATTCGCGTGTTTTGCAAGCGTGCAATCAATGGCAGTCATGCAGCATGATGTGAAGCTGCACCTCTGCTCCTAACAGACTGTTTACCTGTGTGGAAGGAGCAGAGTTGCACGTCGTGCCTTTGCAGAGGCTCCATGGGTAACCGCCGTGCGTAACGCTGGCTCTCCATGGAGGACTGGTGGAGAAGCCACTCATCGAAATCCCCACTTTAAAAAGACACTTGAAGAAAGATGAATCAAGACCAGGACGGGATCTCTTTAGCGGTACCTTCCTTTGGTGCTGGCCCCGGCAGAGAGAACCTCAGCGGGGAAAATGCAAGCGTCAACAGCAGTGGTGGTGGTGCCTGTGGAATCCCCGCAGCCGGGACTTTTTGGCATGATTCCGGGGCTGGAGGTGGGGGACTTAGCCCGATCTCCGGGAGCTGCCCTTTGGACACCGGAGGGTTGCTGTCCACCGGAAAGTCTTGCAAAAGCAGGCCGGTGACAGTGGCCTATGTGGTGAACGGAGAGGCCAGCCAACAGAATAATCATGAGAGCATGGCCCTGCAGTGTCTGAAGGACGCTTGCGAGTCTGTGGGCAGCAAGCTAGAGACAGTGAACTTTGGTAAACTGGATTTCGGGGAGACCGCCGTGCTGGACAGGTTCTACAACGCAGGTGAGTCAAGTGAAGAAAGGCTTATAAATCTTTCCACATCCACCCACAACAAGCTTCCCAAACCGCCCTCAGCAAGTGAGAAGACAAACATTTTATAAAAGTGATTATTACGTGATTATTAGATGAGGTCATTTTTAGCCTTAACGGCAGCCTGTTAGGATTTTAGATCAATCCTCTAAATTGATTTTTTCGGCTTAATCTTTGCTCTCCATTATAATGATTAAGCCACAGTGGACCTCACTAAAGCTCAGTGACCCAGGAATGGCATTTAATTCATGAAAGAGTAGCACAAGAACCTCTCCCCTAAATTCCTTTCAGGGGCTCGAAAATCACGTTTACTGCATCACCTCTGTTGTTGGAAACTGTGCCTGCAGGACAGGTTGCTCTGGACTCCCTAAATACATCCCATTGCTCTGCATGTCATGGCTTGATGTTGCTTCCTTTAGATCACAGTGGTATGTATACTTAAATGAACAAAGCTGGAACTCATTGAACAATAGTTGCTGAGAAGTTGTATCATTTGCTCCACTAATGTGGGGATTATTGCTAGAGTTCCCCCTCCTATGGCTAGTTTCCCCTCTTCCATTGTGGGGTTCGGCATTGTGCTTCAGTGTCACAGTTTGAGCCACAAGCCTGGTCTTTCCACTGGAATCTGCTAACTTGAATCCCTTGATAGAAAGCACTTTCCATCTCTAATTCATGTTGTATATGTAGCAGTTGGCTCTAAATACTACTGAAAAGGTTTGGTTAAGTCATGAAAAACAAAACTATAATGCACATGGCTGATCTCTCTGTTTGAGAGCCAGAAACAGCAGCCAGTGTTTGCATTTCATTAAGATTGTATCAGTACCTGTTCAGCAGATATTGTAAATATAAAACAGTGTGACACATCAAAGCCTTTCAAACAGTGGCATCTCTGCAAATGATGCTAATTTTGTTTTGGGTTTTTCTTTTTTTTTTCTTTTTGAGGGGGGTTACTGTCAAACTCTGGTAGCCTAAAGACACAATCATTGCTTGACTCGTTATTAATATAGTAAAAAGAGTTTACCTGACAGGAGCTATAAAAAGATCAACATATATAAAAGTCAATATGCAGTATGCAGGTTTTTTTCCTTATTATAAAAGACCTAGAAAATTCCCAAAAGACAATATCTGTTTTATTAATGGTAATTGCATCAGTGTTAACAGTAACAAAACTAAGATTAAGTCACTGGGTAAAAAAACTATATTTTTTTAAAACAAAAGCATCAATTCTAAGGTCACAGTGGTTAGAAGTCACTAATTAAAGGTCCATCTATTTTCTTAACCACTCATCCAGCTAAGCTCACAGGGAGCTGGAGCCAATCCTGGCTGACATTTGGTGAGAGGCGGGTAACTGGCCAGGTCACAATTCCACTCCCATTTGTACTTAAATCCACACCTATGACCAGTTTAGACCCAACAAGTTCCCAACCAGTTCAACCCAACAATAATATGTTTGCACTGTAGAAGGACACGCCAAGCTAAGGGAGAGTGTGTTAAACGATGCACTACCCAGCCGCCTCACAAATCTTAGCAACAACTGTCAAAAAGTAATGAAAATCAGGACACAAGGTCAGCAACCCCACCAAGGTGCTTATGAACATATTATAATTGTGCAAAATTTAGAGTTAAAATGTAACAAATTCTTAATATTATGCAAAAAGTAGCATAGAAAAAGTATATTTAATAACATTTTTATCCAACTATAGCAATGTAGTGATTATAAACTGATATAGATAGAGCTGAATTAACCATATTTAGTTGCAGTAACAGCACTTATATTGCCAACATCAGAGCCTACTAGTGAAGGCAGACAGGTGTATTGTTTGTTCCATGCTCGACATGCTTCTTGCTTCTCATATTATTGGCTGTACAAACACATCATGTTCCCAGTGTTTTGTTTGGTCTTTTTCCTCTGAGCTACCGTGGAATTTTCTCATAATACACAGGGGAGGGCTGTGGCATTTTCCCAGACACACATTGCTATATCTGTTCACTCACACACCACTTCTTCATTATCCTCCTGCAGATGAAAGACCGGAAACAAAAAACTTGAGTGAGCTTGTTGGTTTCTGTCATTTGTCTGCTTCTGATACAATGAAAAGCTGTTCCTGACTGTCCTTACATGTCCTCCCCGCATGATGCTGTGGACAAAGAGGGTATTTGGTTGAAAGATGGCAGAGTCTGATTGTGAAACCCTCAGGACATGAAACACAGGAAGTGTAGATGCAAAGGTTTGGCAACAGTGATAGCTAACCGTATCTTATCACTGGGAATTTTGGTCACTACAGCCCAGTTATTCATGGAGTCAGAATTCAGATTTGAAGTCAGATTTGTGTAGCTGTGCCTATCTTACTCACACCACTGATCACATGATATTAACCAACATAAGTGGGGGGAGGAAAAAAAAACATGAGTAAGATGTGAATAGATTACATATGTACCTATCAGTGTTTTCAAAATTCAGATACTTACTGTATGTGTGGAATTTGTCACGGAACTATACGAGATTATAGTGGTCCTTGTTCTGCTCTGCATCCGCAGTAAATTTCACAGCAGATCTCCAAAGCAGAGCAAGGCCATTTGCAGTGCAAGAGAGTGGAGTTGGAGTGCATCCAACTGTGTGACAGAAGCCTCTCTGGAGAAGCAACTAATTAATATTGAGTTCAACCTGGCCAGTGAGCCAGTCTGTAGGTAAAACACAGGAGGGAAGGGCCAAGGTTGGTTTGCCAGCAGTGATCGGACTTTTAAAATAATAGAGAGCACGTTGTCTGCTAGTAAACTGATCACAGATTACGTTGTTTTCTCAGTTGGGTACAAAAATAAACATAAAAAAAAATTCCAAATACACATGAAATCTTACAAACTAACATCTGTGTAGAAAACGCTGAATTACATTTTCAGTAAATCATTTGTATTATGTGTCATATTCCTTTATAAGATGTCAATTTTGAGCCAAGTGTGAAATTAAGCAGCAAATGTCATTTAATCTAAAATAAAAAAAAATAAAAAAAAATACAGCATGTTAGCAGATAATTGGGCACAAGTAACTAATAATTACAGAAAGGACAAAATCAGAGAAGTAAAATGTGAAGCAAAAATTCATACTTCATCATCCTGCTGATTTTGATATACACACAACTTTTATTATTATTATAACTATCGCAAAAAAGAAGCAGGTATGCCCTCACTGCCATGTTTCTCATCCCACTGCCTCTCCTGAGTAGCTATGCTGTAGCTGGGTGGATATGAGTTTTCACTTGAATGGTTTTAGAATTTAGACCATTAATTCTATCCAAACAAATGTGCACATTTCTGTCAGCTAATTGAGGCTGTTGAAAATTGAATAACTTATTTAAAACATCTTAAATTTTAAAAAAAAAAAAAAACAAAACAGTCTTTATCTGTATCTTTTTTATGTTTTCTCAGTTCCCGGTTGTTGTTTTTAAATATATGCTTTCCCTTAGCCCATGAGATAATCTTCATCTGTCCTTTTGACAGGATGCGTATATCAGACTTCAGGGAATGTGTTTCCTTTATTTATTTATTTTTTGTGATTAGCCTGATTCTCAGCCCCCAGTCTGGAGTACCAGCCTCAGTGATGGCCCATCTTATACTTATACAAAGTCATCAGGATTCAGTGCTTGAGTTGTTTCTCTCTTGATATCTTTGGCAGAGGCTGAAGTGAAAGAAGCTTTAGCTAAGGACTCTGAGGCTGCTCACCCTGAGACAAGAGTTTTCTGTTTCAGAAGGTAGTTCAACTTAAACTCTGAGTCAGTCAACTGGGTGACAAACTCTAAGAATGCCACTTGCTCGCTGGCAGGTTTTCTTCTGTTTCTCTCTGACTCTTCCTCCCCTCCCGTACCTGAACCATCTGCTGATACTCCGATTCATTTCTTCATACATAAAGTCGCTATCAAAGCTCAGAGTGAAGCAAATTATTTGACAGGAGTTTCCATTTTTACAAACACTGAAACGTCGGTTAGATGTTTCTTCACCATTCTATGTAAATTACACGACTGCTTTTATAATCAATAAGTACAGAGACAGCGATCATATTGCAGATTAATTATGAGAATCCTGTAGCACTTATAGTCTCCATGTTTCTGACTCATTTCTGTGTTGTAATCAGTCACACTGATGGAAAAATGACTGTCACAGTTGGACCTTGGCGGTGATGTGAATATCTGCGTAAAGTTGAGGCTGAAATGACTAAAGCAAAACTAAATGTATTTTAAAGTTACTTTTTAAATGCTGGCTTCAGACGTTCTGACTGTGAGTAAAATAGTTTCAGATTCAGTCATTAAATTATGTCAAACAACAAATTCAAAATCTGAACTTGGACATGTTTTCTACTGAAAATTGCCTAAATCAGTCTCACAAACACATCAAACCAAAAATATATGTAAAAGATCAGCAAACATTCTTGATTTAAAATCTTTCAACCTTCTAAAACAATACTAAAATATCTTAAATTTATGAGACCAGAGTCTACAAAAGCTGAGACATTTCTTATAACATGTTTGTAAAGATTTATCGGTAAGTCATTCATTAAAAAAATGTGAATTTGTAATATTAGGCTGCCAGGAACTGAGTAAAACACCTCTGCTACATCTATAAGAGAGGCATTATCTATGAGTGATGGCTCATATTAGATCAAATTAGAAATGGTTAAATTGGGGAGCATTAAAGCAGAGGTTTTCTGTAAATCTCATTAAGCATTTTTATCCGGTAATGGCAGAAATAATGAAATTCTTTATGAGAAATCAGGTTTAAACTTCCCTGAATTACTGAGAAAATGCAGTGGCCGTAGACTGCTGCAAAAACAGTTTTTATTTAATAAAGACTGACTTGCGGGTGGATTGTCTATAGCAGTGGTTCTTAACCTGGGTTCGATCGAACCCTAGGGGTTCGGTGAGTCGGTCTCAGGGGTTCGGCAGACCCTCCACCGTGACATGCACCGCTCATTTTGTGCACCA